TTGCTCGTCTAATTTGATCCCACTGCCTATCTACATCATCAGGTTGAAGCGCGCTTAGCCCATGCACTAGCTCTGATTCATAGCGCACACGAACTGCTGGGACAGATAGTCGATGATGAGCTGTACGAGTTTGCTGAATTCGTCGCAGACCAGTCAGTCGGAGAGTGAAATGCATCAAAACCGATGCGTGGTCAGACACAATGCAGGTGGTCCAATAGGACCTGCATTTTTGCTTTGAGCCATACCAACGGTAGCTTACTGCTATGTGGTCGATTTGAGTTAGCGTACCGGTTGAACTGGAACACCACGTTGCCGTCCGTCGAGAGCTGTGTCGGAATTTGGTGCTTGATAGGAACAGATGATGGTCTGCGCAGAATTGAGGTCGATCGCCGTTATCTGTTTGTTGGCTGGCGAAAGCACAACTACCACCTAGGCAGACTTCCGAAGCGCCCAGTTTTCCAACCTGTGCGTTGAAGTCACCTGCAAGTACAACTATGTCGGAGCTGCGACTCATCCAAATGAGATCGGTGAGTTCATCGTAGAACGCGTCCTTTTGGGTACCAGAATTGCAATTGGTCGGTGCATATGATGATACGATGAACAAACACCTTTTGGTGTTGCTTCCCTTCCGGACGCTGATTGAACCCTGGAGACGCATCGCACACAAACGACTGTTGACAGGGATCCAATCGATAAGAGAGGACTCCGCTTTGTTGCTGAGTACAAAACCTACCCTGCGCTGACCGACTAAACGAGCTTCATCAGCGCCTGATGTGCGAAGAACGTATCTCGAAGAAAAATTTGGTGCGCTCAAGTGGCTTATAGTAGAAGGATCCTGGATTCGAGTCTCCGACACGCAGCAAATATCGATCCCTAAGGATTTCATTGTACGCGCCAGACAAGCTTGTTGACCTACCTGCGTCAGGGTCCTCACGTTGAAGGCCACCAGGTTCAGTGACTGACGAGGAATTAGAATTTGCAATTCGTTTCGTGAGCCTTTTGTATGCGTGTCGACACTTCATCCGCCCAATAGCAAAGTTGTCTCTATTGCTTCCCCAGTTAGGCAGAAGTTGGGAGCTGGATCAACCCAAACTTGCAGAAGGTGCAAAACGCATACCGAACAAGGTTATACTGGAACTCAAACTATCCGAAAAAGCTTGCAACCTAATCGGATCTTCACTTAGCAGTACAATTTTGTCTGCTAATTGGCAGCAAACTGATGCCGATACCCTCATACACGACAACAGGGCAGTTTCCAGAATCAGATCCATCACGAAGTTGAATAGAAAACGAAAGGAAACCTGAAGGACACCGCCTTCTGTAATGAGCTTCGGCGAAAAAGTGCTGTAAGCTCGAACTCGGCTTCGGCTATCAGTTTAAATAGATCGCAGAATTGAAATAAACTTATCGGNNNNGAGGCAGCGACAGAGTAAGGAGGGCTGACT